CCCCAAAACCCCAAAACCCCAAAACCCCAAAACCCCTTTTGCATTCCTTAAAATTGACTTAGATTAATCAAACGATTTAGCAAAGTATTACACATCCGTTTGAAATGGAGGGAATTAATTAGTTACTTAGGAAAATTTAGGAATGAACCTCCTACATTCCATGACTCTTTCCGCTACTGTTTGATGACTCTGAGTCAGAGTCGCTCGATGGGTTTGATAAATCTGCAGGATAGGGAGGTGCTTTGGAAGCTAATGTGCTTTGATATCCTGTTTTTCGACCAAACTCATCTGAATTTGTTGCTAAACCTGGGGTGTTAGGCATACCCCTTCCTTGAAAAGGGGAGGGGCCTCCGCTATTTTTGCTTCATGAGCCCAGCAGGACTCACAACACCTCCTACTCTTTGAGGTTTCTTGCCTTCATTTTTGACTCTCATAACATATCCTTCTAATTCTCTTCACTTATTGGGAGGAAGAATATCAATATCAAACTCGAGCATTCCATTTTTCTCGGGAAACATATCTTTAACTATAGAGATAATCCCTTTTAGTTGAGTAGCTGTTAAATTTCTGATAGCTCTGCTCAAATTTTTCTTTTCCTCATTACTCATAGGCCTATCAAAATCCTCATCAGACCTAGATCCTGGTTTCATCAACTTCTTTTTACCGCCATAACAGCCTGATTTCTTCCTTGCTAGGTAGGAGTCTAGTTTAGTTTCTTCAAAGAGAACTTTCTCATCTATACTGGCGAAGCTTTCTTCGAATTTGTTGATCATTTCTACCACTCTATTAGCAAGCATAGGATTGCTACTAAATTTAGTGACAACCCCATTCATCAACTTTCTGATTGAATTCCCGAGCATGGAGGTACTCATATACTTCCCATCTCGAAGATTGTTTATTTCTTCTTCAAACTGAGAGGAAAATGAAGCTAGCTCTGGAATTCTACCAAAACTGTCTTTCATGCTGTTGATAAGTTCTTCACATTTTCTAAATATTTCCCTGGAGGCGCCAGAAAGTTTGACTCCTTTAATAGGCTTTGGTTCTTCGTATCCAAGATCTTGCTTAGTAGCTGGCTTCCTTTCCCTTCTAGAAGTGCGTCTTCCCAACCCATTTTCAAGGTCGTTCTGGGCTAATTCAGCATCATTAAAAGAGCCCATAGATCCAGGAGCATTGGAAGGAAGTTCATCTCCAACAGATGGGGGAATAGCAAAGTATTCAGGAGGTTTAGAGGTCTTCACAGCCTTCTTCTTAGTTTTATTTCTATTTTGGACTCACTTTTTCTTCGATGCTTCGAAGAGATCAAACCGAAATGAAGTCCCAGAAAGTAGTGAATTCAGAGCAAACGCCTGTTTTACTTCCAATGTGAGCTGGGTTTTGTTCAACATCTCCTCAATCTCTTGTTTAGACAGTGAGGGAGGTTGCTCTGAAGTATTTTCACTCATTTTAAAAAATTTATTATAATTAATCTTAAAAATTTCCATTTATATATTTTATCAAGGGGTTTTGGGGTTTTGGGGTTTTGGGGTTTTGGGGTTTTGGGG